GAAGAAATCAACCTAAGCATGTATAAAGTGAATGAGCAAGCCAATTTCTTCAAGAACCTTCAATTGGATGATCTGACGGCGCTGCAGTGGGTCTGGATTAGGATACGGATGCACTCGAGGATCCTTGTAATCCCCAATCCTCGAATTCCAGCTGAACCGATAAAAAATAATTCCCTCAACTATTTAGTTCATTAAAAAAACTGATTTTCCTTATACACATCCTCGATGGCAATTAAAATAAAAATCAGCCAATCTCTTTTTATTTTCTCCTCAATCGAACAATAGTAATAGAATTTCATTGTACGGCAATTAATTAATATAATAAACAAAATATATATAATAGTAAGATAAGAGAATGAGCACCCCTGTGAGCCGACGGATTGAAGCGTTACGGTGCAACAAACGCCCAGACGGCGCGGGTTTTGCAAGTTTCCCGTCAGCACTCATACTCAGTAGCACCTAGCCACACAACCACGCTGCGAGCTGGAACATACATACACACACACATGTGTGTGTGTGTGTGTGTGTATAATACTAGACTAGCAGTTTAAAGTGAACCTCGGGAAGTACCGATGCACCACCATTACTAGCAAACTAATACTCCTACGCATTACCATGATCGCATATATTCCATTCCAAGGCAGAGGCAGAGGGTTGTTCCTCTTCTCATTCAAATAACGCACTCTCTCTAGGATGCTCAAACACAGACACAGAGAGAGAGAGAGAGACAGAGCGACATTCAAAGGGTGGTTTGAGTTTCGGTAGAATCGTGTATCACATCGACATGGGCGTAGAGTGTGTGCGAATCTCTGTCTAGTCTGGAAGCGAGTACGGCGTCGCCATGGCAACGCACCCAGGGAACCCAGGCATACACTCTCTCATCGCAACCCTCAAACTCTCCCTCTAGTTCGAACGAACGAACGAACGAACGAACGAACGAACGACTAACTCCCTTCCCACCTAACCGAGCCGATGGTACAGCGACGGCTGGCAGGTTCATCCACCTCCTGCAACAAAACCCAAGTATCAACGTACTCGCGCTGAGCCTCGGATGATATGATGCTACTCCGAGGGAAGAACTTATGCTTCTGCTTCTGCTGACGATGTTGGCACACACTACCAGCAATTGTCTCTTTTTATATAAAATAGTAAAGTAATTGTAGACTGCAGATCTACGATCCGGGATCTAGAATCTACAATCTAGACCTAGAATAAGAGTACAACGCGTAGAGAGTAGAGAGTATTGCACCCTGGCCGGGACGCAACCCTCACTCTACTGACTGAGAGAGTAGACTCTCTCGCATACAGTACAAGCCAGTCCCGGCTCTACTCTGCTCCCTGTACTATACTACCGCTATATTTTCCCGGGTTCGCTCCCGGGCAACGCCCGCCGGCGTTTTAATTCTTTGGACTTGACAGCCCTCGAGAATTATAGCTACAGATATTCTACTCGAGAATCCGTCGCGATATTACACCGGGAGGATGCCAGCGAGGCACCACCACCGCCATGAAGGTTCAATTACTTTAAGTGCATATCCGCTACTACCCTTTTACATTTAATCATATAACATACAATGTACATATGCATACCGAGCTTTGCTTTTTGTATCACTCACTATTTATTATTTATCAAAGCTCTGTCTGCACTTAAGAGTACTTTTTGCTTTTTATTAAGCGGTTAATTACTTTATCATCGGTAACGCTTTTGGTCTATTAAATTCAGAGTGTTTAGAAAAAACTGTTTCAATTAGAATATTTTTTTTAGAAAACTTTTTATTTTGAAGTGCCGTAAAAAAAAGGCAATCAATATTTTTACGATCCATGCTTCTAGACTAGAATACCCCCTTAAGAGTTCAAATAAATTTTTATTAATATTTGTAAAATCATCTGGGATTAAAAAAAGTAATTTATTAACAATTAATAAAGTTTATTTATTAAGTATTAAAAAATGTTTCCATCAGCGGATTAATAAACTTTGAACACGCATTGCCCATTTAAGTTGGCTATTATATTTAGCGAGTTAGCGTATAGTAGGCGTTCATGGATAATAACAATACAGTTTACACAAATACTCAAATTCCGAGTCTCGAGTCCTGAGGAAATTGCATTGCAGTCGTAAACTTTATAATAGGAGGATTGCAATTTTCATGCAATGTTGTTATGCTCTTTGTACAGTATACACAATTACATTTAACATTTATCTGCGTATGCTATACAAAGTACAACAGTAAGGAGTGTAAGGAGGGTATTTGTTGAAGAATAAATAAAAAAATATAAAAAACAGATAGATAGATAGATAGATAGATAGATATATTGAGAGTTCATCTACCTTTGGATGTACGTCTGGTGGTAGTGGGCTGTAAGTAGTGTAGGTATAGGGCGAGGTAAGGTTCCCGAACAGCTACGGGGATCTTGAGAAAGAAATCTGAGAAAGTATTTGGCTTTTGTGATATATACCCGAGAAGCCAAGAGGGTAAGAAACGTACGCGCCGGCGCCGATCCGGAACTTTGTCGCCGGAAGTCCAACGGAGAAAAAAAATTACGGGTCTGACGTACCTCCTCCTTTTTCTTTCCAACCCCTTTCACTTCTTCCCTCGGGCTCCTGTTCTACTCCTACTTCCTCCTTGCTTAAGTCTTGACCTTCGCCAACCCGGACTTTGTGCTTGGTAGAAGATTTATTGTTTAACATTAAAATTTACTTCCCTTTTTCCTTATATTTATTAATTCTTCTTTCAACTTTTCCTCCAATTATTTTCAAGTATCCCAATAAATATTTTAAAAAACAAAATTTCTGTCATTTAATTATACCCTTAAAACATTGGCAATTTGTCAACAAAAATAAAATTTATAAAAAGAATCGAGTTCTTTTAAAAGTTTATAAAAAATATACTCAACTAAAAAGTTAAAAAGATTATAACATAAAATGTACATTGAAATAATAAAAATGAAACTTTTTAATTATATACTTGCTTAATTATTTTAATAAAATAATTTTCTTAAAGCCACTCGTATACTCTTTTCATTATATGATATAATATAATATAATACATACAATGCAGCAAAAACAACATTATTCAATCTAAATAAATAAAATTAAAAAATAAAAAATATAAGCGTAGCTCCCCTCTTTTTCAGTCAGCATACTACTCGAGACAGAGTCTTTTTATTTACTTTTATTATATTTTATTTCATCTCTTTCTTTTCTCCTTTTTACGTATTTTTTTTTAATTTTATTTTTTTATGTCCCGTCTAGCTTTTATTCTCGCCCCGGTCGATTTGCAAGCTTCGCCAGCAGCATCAACGGCATTTGTATCCGTTGGATTCATGTACTACAGCATCACCACACCAGAAATACGTCCCCAGTAATAACACACACACACACACATATTACAAATACATCTACATCTATATCTGAAAAAGTACAACAGAGAACAGAGAGTCTATAGCAACCCTCACTCATTTTAAAACTCCCTTATCATCCCTTCGGATGCCGTAGCCGTTCCAATAGATCCCACCCGATGAGTCTCTACACTCTCTATTTCTTTGACTCATCGTCTCCCAGTTTAGATCCCTGTTATATTAATACCCCTGTTATACATATATTCCTTTCACCATTGCATTTCCAATCAACTTTCTCAGTCTATCTATCCCTCTAACCCTTTATCGTTAACGCGAAACACGGGAAAGGTATTCGCATTGGTATTCAGCATTCCGATTGCACGAGCCTAGGAAATCACCCGGCTCAATCCTATACAGAATTCACTCTGGATTTTTTTCTCCACTTCATAATACCTACTCCTTTTGGTTTGCTTCACTACTCTGCGTTTTTTTAATAATTTCTCTGTGGCTCGGTCGGGCTTCCGATGTTAAATTTCCGAGTATCGATTAATGAAAAAACGGACGGTAATTTTCGAGCTTACATAAACGAGACAGTATACTCGTATGTGTGTTACTGTAAATACGGGGGACATCGCCAGCAGTTAAAGTAAAGACTGCATTCGATGTATTTCACTATGATTACAGCTGATGTCTGTGTACTTGTGCGCTACATGCATGATAAAGAACAAAATAGAACGGAAGGGTAAAGCAACCCCGTATTTACAGAAGATATCGCCTCTAAAATCTTTAATTTATTTTTCAGCCTGAAATTTTAATTAAATTCATAACGATAACAATAAAAGTAATAATTATTGTTAGTGCACATGACTATAGCAGAGCTCCTAGTTACAAAAATGATCGACAGTTTGCTGAAGTTATTTGCCAGTAGAGCTTGCTCGGAGATTATTTTTAGTAATCGAGGCAATGGATTTTCCTTATGTTTTAATAATTTATGCTCCACTTTCCAGCAGAGTGCAATGACGCTGTATTTTCCCCTCGGGATTTTATATACATATCTTTACTAGCTGGAGCTGGTTAGTTCCTTTTTTATAAATATACATTATTTAATAATCTTTTGTTAAATGTGAAGCTCTTAAAGTGTTCAATCGAGCATTCGCGATTAGTATTGATTTTTGTTCACGAGTTATTTTAATTCAGTTTATACACTCGGTATTTTGAATATTTATGGTTATTATCGATATTCGGTATTCAATTTTCAGTTTAGAATTTATTTAACAGTTTCAGTTACTTTATATACTTTTTGACTCCATGATAAACTATATTGTTAATTTGCCAACTCACTTGTAATATTTAAATTGCGATAAAGTTATTTTATAACTCACTATTTATTTAGCAATTGTAATGAACGTCATAATTAGTGAATTTTTAAATATTTTAATTACTTAACTTTTACTTGGCGTTACTTCTCGGCTTGTTAAAGCGAAGCGAAGAGACTCGAAATAACTTCTCTAAGATTTTAGATCCTTCTTTCACTCCTCATTTATCCCTTTTCTATCGAGCTACCCCCGTTCCATTGGCAAACAAATTTTACTTTACGCTTCGAATCAAATAAAACCCTTCGAGACTAATTGCGGGACTGGGAGAAGCTACGAGACTTCGGTTTAAGTTTTGAGGTTATGGACCTTTACAGCTGTTTCGCAGTGGCCATCTTGTTGGATCCAAGTATATGACGTGTGTGCTTTAATATCGGAGATTATATCGAGATAAGTTTCGCAAAAGCTGTCTTTATTATTTATTTTATATTAATTTTGTTTTCAGTAATCCTTTCTTTACGCAGATAAAATATTAATTTGCTGTTATTCTGAATAGATGAGATTATTTATTTATTTATTTATGCCAAAGCCTAATGTCCAAATGGCAAAGTAAAAAGTAAAAAATAAAAAATACAATTAATTACAAATTTAAAAATATTAATAACAACAATTTTACAATTATTATAAGCACTCTGATTGCAATTATATAAAAAATAGTTTTGATTTTGATTTCTCTTACAATCTTATAAACATTTATAAACTCTATTTATACATCTATAGATTGAACAAATAGTCAAAAATTTGATCCTTGAAAACCTCAAGACTGGACGCATTTACAATATCAGACGGAAGTTCTTGCCACAGACGTATAGCGGTAATTACAAATGCACCTTCATAGTGAGTGGTTGCAAAGTTAGGTATTTTAAAGTTTACATTGTTTTTCTTAGTAGCTAAACGGTTTAATCGTCTGATATCCACATCTTCTATGAACAATTCACGTAGATAATAAGGTTTATTTACAGAAAGTAATTTATAAAAATAAAATTAGCTAAATAATAAATTCTACGACTTGTGATAGAAAGCCAGCCTAGTCTACGTATGTAAGGAGTCACATGATCATCACGCTTTAAGTTAAAGATGAAACAAATGATACACGAAAAAAAGTAAACTGTAATATCGGGGTGGCAAAAATATAAATATTACAGAACTTAATGTAGAAAGTATAAAAGCTACAATTTATAATTTATTATCCAAAATAAGTGATTAGTAGCTGTCACTATATAGTAAATAACGACTCTCTCATCTTAAAAAATTAGTTTCAAACAGTAAAAATTGCCATTTCAATATATAGTCCATATTATGAGGAGAAGGGGAACTCAGATGAAAGAGAAGGGGGTCTCACTCTGGGAGAATTTAACATTTGAAACAGTAAAAATTATACTTTTAAAATATACATTTTACCAGTCCAAGCAAGTAAATAATTACAGTTTGATTTTTAGCGTTGCGTTTAAAATTTACCATTTTACTTTGTAAATATTGACGTTGCTTGTATTAGAAATTTAATAACTTTATTTTATACTTTTTACATATCATAAGATCATTTTTTAGGTACGAAATGATAAATATCAAAGTCTGAATTCTTAATTATCCACAGATTCGGTAGAATCTGGCGCCAAGTTCCGTTCAAATCCGTTGTCAATGGAGCGCCAGACTACCGACTGTGTTTACTGTAAGCAGAACGGTATTTTAAGGTTGCAAAATTTTATTTAATTCTACGGTACTTTTTTTTCCTAAAATTGTATATTATAACAATAATTCATACTTTATTTTACTGTTATTAATTAATTATATTCACATATAACAATTAATCTACTTGAAATTACTAAATTTAATCAGCACAAACTATAGCAACGCAAAAATTTCGATCCTGACTTTTTGTCGATGGGCAAAGTGATCTGCCACAGACTAAAATATTCGAGAATGCATAGTAATCCTTCATAAGATGGGACACTACAGTTAAAAAAAGATATTTCACAACTTGCATCTACACCCGCCAGGGTGCGCTGAAATTATTTTTACATAAACTATAGCTTCAAGGG